AAGTCTGCAAAAGAGAAGCAGCCATTGCAGACCTATCGTCCGTATAACCTCGCTCATCGAGGATCAAATGGTGAGCTCCCTGAAGAAACTGCAGAAGCATACATGGTGAGCTTGATGATAGTATATCACTTGAGAATTTTCAAAGTATGAAATGAAATCTGATCAACAATAAAAGAATAAATTCAAGGAAAAAAACAAGGAACTATTTTCACTAAAATTCCTTGGCATGTAACATGTTCTGAACAATTTTGCCCCATGTATATGCTAGATTACACCCTTTCAGAAAGATAGACATTTTACTCACCACATCAAGGTTGTCGTCTATGACAATTTTCAATAGATCAGAAGGGTTTTGTTTCTCTAATTTTTAAAGTTTTTAGGGTGGTTTTGTGAAATTTACCAATAATATAACTGAGAGACTAATATGTTTAAATCATATAGAGAGCAATTGAAGAGGGTGCAGACTTCATTGAAACTGATATTCAAGCAACTAAAGATGGCGCATTGATATGCATGCACGACATGACTCTAGATGATACAACCGATGTAGCAGATCATAAGGAGTTTGCTGATCGGAAAAGAACTTATGAGGTTCAATGGGAGAATGTAACTGGATGGTTTGCAGGTACGTGTGCATGAAAAATCTATAAAATATGCATCTAACCCTATACAATTGATAACAAAAACTTCATTTCCCCCTCCAATCGTAAACAGTTGACTTTACATTAAAAGAGTTAAAGACACTGAGAGCAAAGCAGAGGTTTGCATTCCGTGATCAACAATACAACGGTTAGCATCTTCATCTGTCAATCCTTATATCTCCTGTGGTTGTTGATGTGTTTCATTTTAATTGCTTGTCTGCTGCAGGAAAGTTTCGGATAATTACCTTTGATGAGTACATCTCGATTGCACTTGCTGCACCCAGAACTGTTGGTATCTATCCAGAGATAAAAAATCCTATATTTGTTAATAAATACGTAAGTAAATGCAATTTCAATGTGTAAAATATAAATAGACTTCAATAGCCAGAAAATCTGGAGTTCAGTATACTCGTTAAGTTGACTAGATGCTTCAAATCTTGCAGGTTAAATGGGCAGATGGAAAGAAATTTGAGGATAAATTTGTTGATACACTTAAAAAGTATGGTTATAAAGGAGAGTACATGTCCAAAGATTGGCTAGAAAAACCAATATTTATACAGTCATTTGCTCCAACTTCACTTGTTTACATCTCCAAGTTAATCAATTCACCGAAAGTCTTCCTGATTGACGATGTTACCATACTAACGGAAGACACCAAGCAGGTCCTTATCTATCTTCATGTGATAATTTCCGTAAACGTTCATTGAAAAATTTGATGGAACCACTCACTTTTCTCTAATATCCTTTTTCTTTATTCAATTGTTGATCATTGGTATTTCTTGATTGTATGTAGACCTACGAGGAGATTACTTCTGATAAGTACTTCGATTATATTAAAGACTATGTTGTTGGTATTGGACCATGGAAGGATACTGTGGTGCCGCCCGTACACAAACGGTTGACAACGCCAACCGATCTAGTCGCAAAAGCTCATGCTCGAGATCTACAGGTAAAACTATTTTGTAGCATTTATCTTATGCCAATACCTTATATCCCATTATAAATTTTAGTTCGACATATAGGTGCTGAACCCTTCTGGAGCGGTGGAGATGGGTTAACCCCTAATACTAAGGACTTAGATAGGAGATATAATAAAATAGTGAAGGTTTCAGCTCATGAAAAGACAATAAATTCGTGTGGACATGTTATAGTATAAAATTATAACCTTCAACTCTCACCGAATGTTTAAAATCTTTAAAATTTTGACATAGCGGAAGAGGCTTTTTAGACACTGCACATTCAAAATTCAAATGTAGTGGAAGAGAATTTTAAGACTGAACTTTACAATCCTTTATGAGGAGATTTACTAATCTAACCTCAGAAGAAAAATTATGATTATTGGAGGCAAGATTAACTCCTAGGTCTTTGCCTGAACCTACGATAGGTTGCAGTTTTATCTCTACTATTGCTTTTCACTATGACTATGATATGTATGACATCCTTTCCCTTTGTTGGTATTCTCAGGTTCACCCGTACACATATAGGAACGAGGATTCATACTTAAATTTTGATTTCCACCAAGATCCCTATGAAGAGTATGATTACTGGATAAACAAGATGGGTGTTGATGGACTATTCACTGATTTCACTGGTAGCCTTCATCAATATCAAGAGTGGACCACAAAACATTCTCGTTCTTGAATCTCTTCCAGCAGACGCAACAGCTGATTTCCTCATACAAAAAGCAGTGAAGCGTATTTAGTTATTTGTTCTAAGAGTGATCTCCTTCAGTCAATAAGGTCAAGGGAGACTTGCTGAAGATCAACCAAACATTCTCCTAAGAGACCAATTGAATTTATTTAAATATGATCATCCATTATTGCTTCAGCTGTAACTATTCCTGCAGTAAAACGTGGAAGCATCTTAATTATTTTTTGCTTTTGCATTCTACAGTCATGATGCTCTCGAGTAATATCTAGAAATTGCTGGGATGCAATTAATCCACAGCAAACAGAGAACAGATACAATCTGATTTGAATCAGAACTAGAAAAACATATACATAACTACACAAATAAACTGAGGGCAAACTTGAAGTACAGTAGATAAAATATCACTTACAGTTCACTGTGAAAGTCAGGAGAATTTGATATTTCCCAGGATACGATCTGATCTCAAAAGAGGAAGCAAAACATTAGAAGTTTCAATTGCAAAAAGATGAAGTGGCCGAAATTTTTAGCGCCAAATCACATGCATTCGCATTCCATGGCTGAGAAGTAAATTGCAAATTCATCAGAAGTAGAAACTAAACTATAGAATAAAACAAACTAAACCACACACAAAAAAAAAAAAGGTTTCCATACATACCTTAACTGTTAGGCACAATGCAGAATCTTAAATAAACATGGGTTGATTTGTGCCGAAGCAAATGCAAGTTATCAAGCACTTCCAAATTGTCACGTAGTGAGGGAAGTAGAGTGCGCTCATTTCTCTAATTGAATAAATCCATATAAGAAGAGATTCATAAGAAACATTTGAGGCATACCCAGCCTACAACTGGAGAGCTTAAAACAAGCAAACATAAAGAACATAGACAGATAGCATACAAGATTGTAGTCTGAATGTGAAGAATTCTCAGCTTTTAACAGAAGTTTAGACACTGCAACTATAATAAATATGAAAATAAAATGCAAAAGAAAGATAACTAAACTCCAAAGCATAAAGTATACCTCCAAGAATGCAACTAATTGATGGTAACTTCAACTGCAGTACAACCTTTTTCATGCTGAATTATGATTTACATGAAATATAAGGAAACAAGATTCTCACAGAAGAGAGCACACTGAGGAACAAAGATGAAAGCGGATCAGGGTTAGAAATTCTAGGTAAAGCAAGATACTTTTATAAAATATTAGGTTAGGTAATTCAAAGAGGAAGGAAAGAAGAGGGAGTGAGATGCAGAGTAGGCTGGACAATAGAAAATTAATATTCCGATGAACCATAGCCGAACAAAATATCTTAAAAAATACTGTGGGTAAAGAAAGTAGGAGAGGTTTGAGAGAACTCTTTCTTCACAGGAAAGTACTAAAGGCTCAAGATAACCCATTCTTCATTTTTTTTAAAGCAAATCAAGGTCAGGAAACTCTTCTAAATCATTAACCAGTGGTATACAGGTTCATACTAAAGTTAACCTAGTCGACAACTTATAATTCTACTCATCAAACAAGTGAAATAAGGTATACTTAATACTTTGTATTAACAGAGGATATCCACAGTCCACAGTTTAGCAAGTATAAAGGAATGTTGCTTTCCATTCATTTTTCATCTGAACTTGAGAAAAAAATCAGTGTAATATATACTTTGACACCACAAAAGAATCTGTGATTATCCAATCAAACCATTCTTGTTTACAAACAAATCTGAAGAGGTACAAAGAAAGATTTGAATAAGAGAGAAATACAAAATAAAAGGCAACAACTTCAACTTAAAGATTATCACTAGGCACACCAGAAAACAGGTCAAATAGAGGTGAAATATGACCATTAAATAGAACATAAAGAAGATGGTTAATATAAAAGGGAAAAAAATAATCATTGCACCTGAGAAGAAAGAGAGTGTTGTCAGAAGATATAAGTATTACAGAAACATTTAATGAAAGCTAGTGTGAGCTGAGGCCCGTTGCAATTCTTCCAAGATAGTAACCCTATGACAATGTTGCAATTCTTCCAAGATGATAATAGCCCTACAGAAACTCAACAACTTGAACTCCAGTTATCAGGCGCACCCTAAGTTAGAAACAAACTCTATTATCTCTGATTCACGTGTTACCATGTGCCATCAAATAGATTTTCTTCCGTATCCCAATAATCACTAGATTAAGGAGTCTACAGAAAATCCACATACATGTTATCCCTCTCACCTTACTCTTGGCACTAGATGCCGGGTTGTAACCTTCCAATGGAGGTAAATAGAGGCAAACAGTGACAATTTTATTTTATTTTATTTTATTTTCCTTTTGTTTTGTTTCTATTTTTTTCCCCTTGTGTGTTTGTCCACAACAAACATGGAGGCTTTTTTTGGGTAAAGAGCATGGAAGTCAATTTTATTTCCACACAGAGAAAACATCATTACTTGGTGCATAGGAGGATTACTCACAGATGTGTTATTGTCCATCGTAGTCAATTGGCCATCATAAAATTTCAAATATCTTGGAATGCACTAGAAGTATTTAAGAAAACCTCAGCAAGTTGTGAGTTGCACACAGCAGCCTAGACCGCGAGTAGCAAGCCACGATCCGACCGGATCTAGATCGCGCGGTGGTCTACGGCAAACAACCCCGGCGCAGGCAAAGAACCCACAAAACGAGCGACCGCAAAACAGGAGGTCGTGATTTGTTCGACAAACAAGGAAACAAAGTTGTAATTTTCATTTCTTTTCAAATTTGATTTTCGTTGTAACCGGATCTTATAAAAAGACCGGATCTTTGTAATCGATAAACTATTACAAGAGTGTACAATGGAATCATTAATGAAGAAAGCAACGATTTTTCCCGCGAACAAAAATTTCCCGTACGTGTGAGGCATGGATTATAGTGTTATTAATAACAACCTGGCACAATGTTGAATATGTGAGCTTTTGTCCTTTTTACGGTTAAAGACTAACAGACAACGCGTGTTAGGTGCTGACCTATCTCTACTTAGGCTTCGGGATAAAATTCCCCAGACTTGGATTCTGATATCTTCTTCAATCGGTGAAAGACTAAACCGGCAACTCGTGTTAGGCATTAACTTATCCCTACTTAGGATTCAGGATAAAATTCCTCGTACGTGTGAGGCACGGATTATGGTGTTATTAATAACAACCTACCACAATGTTGAATATATGGGTTTTTGTCCTTTTTACGGTTAAAGACTAACCGACAACGCGTGTTAGGTGCTGACCTATCCCTACTTAGGATTCGGGATAAAATTCCCTGTGCATGTGAGGCACGAATTATGGTGTTGAAAAGTAATGTCTTCTCTTGGGGCAAAGATGAACCCGATGCTGGAGAGAAAGAATTTTAAAAAATCCAGTTCCCAGGTGAGTTTTGCATAAAAAAATGCTAATCTACACATAGCTCTCTGAAATATAAAAATGTCAACTCATATGCAACACAGAGAGTACTGCATAGAATAGTTCAGTAACCAAGTCTTTAAAAAAAAACGTATTTCTTAAACCCATCCATCGTTTTATGAAAACCAGAGCAATACTATAAAAGTAAACCCACAAGTTAGAAATTGCAAGTCAAAAAGTAAAAAAGACGAGTTAAATCTGATCCTCTGGTCCTTTTTTAGCTAAGCTTGTCAATTTAGATAAAGAATGAATTGTTTAGTGCAATTAATAACTAACTACAATATAATACACCTGTAACTATGTGTCCGAGCATATACTATGTCAGCAGAAACATTATCCATTTCAACATGAATAGGTCTTCTAGACGTTAGACAGTGCCGGTAGTTAGCAGCATATTCATGAACATTAAATGCACTAAGAGGAGGCTGCTATTTTTAAAATAACTTACTAGCGTATGGAAGAATTTTTCCTAAGATACGCTGTCTCCTCTGGAACATGCAGGATTTTGATGCACTGCATTGAAGATGCCCACAATACCTGTAACCGTGCACAAGAATTTCTGATAAAATAGAGATCGGTACAAAAAGGAGGTGACACTTTGCATATCAAAAACTCAAAATAGTATTCAGTCAAGAATGGCACTGCCAAGGAGAAATACACTCTGCTCGATTCTGGTGGTATAACATGTCTAATGTCTGCGATGAGTACTCACTTCAGTGTATAAATCATTTCCCCCATAATTAGAAACTTTATGTATTTTTTCTGACTCCATCACGCACACGTGGGTGCGAGTACTGCACCAAGCATACATGCATCCTATGGAGTACCCAAGCACCTACGCATCGCTCGATCAACACAAGAACACACATGGTAAGACAAATATTCCTTTTAGCACGTTTGGTCAGAGTAAGACTATCTTCAGATTTTAGGTACAAGTAAATCTATGGTTCCAAGGTGTAGTACCAATCAGGTAAGAGCAGCCAAAAGTTTACGCAATAACTAGCATCATTACTGAACACAAAAGACAAACGTATAACAGCCTTTTATCTGTATAGTAGACAAAAACTTATACTCAGTCCAATTTTTCTGTTTGAAAGGTATAATACCACTTCTACTGAAGAATCCTAAATCTTTATTTAAGATTTGTCGAAAATAGATTAGGTTTCCAAATATATTTCATTTGAGGACAGAATGTTCTTCATTGGAATTATATAAAAGCTAACTTCAATACTATATGATGCCCAAATAAAATTTAGTAGTACAAACTGTGGAATGATGTGGAGGACTTGCTCGCCTGGTGAGGAAGAAAAAGATATCCCAACTTGGTGATTCTCACAATTATTTAGTATTGGAAGTATGTGGAGTAAGAAAAGAAACCAAATTCCAATACTCATTTTTCTATAAATTTCCATAAAATTAATCTGGTAATGTACATCAGAAATCTCTTCGTGGATACAAAGGGAAGTCACACGCATAACAAAAAAAAGGGAAATATGTTAATATTACAGAGGCAATAAATGAAAAACAGTAGATCTGAGGAGTACAGAGAAAAAAGGACCCAAATAGATAATACATTTACGACTCAGCTTTTTACCTTTTCAATAATTTATGTATGCTAGCATGTTGGTGGCTGAAGTTGCTTTAGCCGTTGAACAACATGCTTCATTGTGGGTCTGATAGATAACGAATCAACAGTGCACATGACAGCCAAGTGCAAGATCTCCACCAAATCGTCATGGGGAGCCACATCCCATAACCCCTCAGTGAAGAAATCACGTGCCTTTCCCTGACGAAGAAGCATGCAAGCCCAAGTTACAATATTGAAACCATCTACATATGGGGAGAAAGATGGATCCAAGGCCTTCTTATCCGAGATCAACTCTAGAAGTACTACACCATAGCTGTACACATCAGCCTTATCAGAGACGCGACATGTCATAGCATACTCTGGAGCAACATACCCAAATGTCCCAGCAACCCCAGTAGTTGCATGGGTCTCAGAATTTCCTAAAAGCCTAGCTAATCCAAAGTCAGACAGATATGCATTGAAATCTTTGTCCAACAAGATATTGCTAGGTTTGACATCCCGATGAAGGATGCGAGGCACACAATGGTCATGTAGATAAGCAAGCGCACGTGCAACATCCAAAGCAATCTTGTGCAGCATCCTCCAATCTACAGCTCGTTTAGATCTTTCTTGTATGAACCTTTCTAGGTTACCACTTGGCAAGTAGTTATATATAAGAAACATCTCCGATTCGCTAACATGATATCCTATCAGAGTCACAAGATTTGGGTGGCGCCATCTCCCAAGTGTCTTAATCTCCGCATGGAACTGTTGAACACCTTGGAATCGGCCTACAGAAAGTCTCTTTATAGCGACAACCACCCCTGGGGATATCTCAGCCTTGTAAGTTGCTCCAAAGCCTCCATTTCCAATGCAGTTGCTTGCATTAAAACCCCCTGTTGCTCTCACAACACTCTCATACGTAATAGGGACACCAATGTCCGTGAAAACTATTACTTCTCTCCTTCCAGGTGATCGAATTGAAGACCTTGGAGCACATTTTCTTGTATATACATAGAGGACAATAAGGGCCAACAATACTGAAACTATGGCAGATGCTGAAGCTATTGAAGCAATCTCGATGGAACTGAACCCACTGCTGTCGCTGCTGCTAGTTGCACTCCCAGAAGGTGTATCAGCAAAAGTTTGTGAACTTCCACTAAACCCTTGCTGATTAGATGCTGAAGTGGACAGAGAATATGCATGGCAAGGTTGAAGTAGGGGGTTCCCAAGAACAGTGTCACATCTCATCGTGCTGCTGTTTGAAGGCAATGTTCCAGACAAATTATTGAATGACACATTGAACACAGATAGAGATGCCACCTTAGCAAAACCAGACGGTATCTTTCCAGAGAGATTGTTGTCATCAAGAAAAAGAGCCACGAGGTTTTTAAGATTCACAAGGCCGTCTGGGATCTTACCTGATAGTGCGTTTGAAGAAAGATCCAATCTTTTAAGAGAATACAACTGCTCAAAAGCTACAGGAATAGAACCACTTAGGTTGTTGGTGGCTAATGAGAGATAATTCAAACCCTTTAAATTCATAAAACTAAGAGGGATCTCGCCTTGAAGTCGGTTCCTGCTCAAATCAAGCTCAAAAAGACTCCCTAATTCTCCAAAACTTTGTGGAATCACTCCTGTTATTCTATTACCAGCAGCATCAAAAACCAACAGGGATTTGCACATGTTACCAATGCCTGCCGGGATCGAGCCAGAAACATAGTTGTTGCTAAAGTCGATAATCAACCCTTTCAAATATCTGCATTTCTCAAACAGACCATCTGCTAATGGACCCACGAATTGGTTCCCGTCAACAAGAAAAGCATACACAGTTCCCTTACCCAATGTTTCAGCTGATATAGGCAATGACGTCAAAGCGCCCGTAAAATTATTCCAGCCAAAATTATGATAAATCACAGAAGCACCACCTGAATCAAAAAAAGGCAAGGAGATTCCAGAAAGAGTACTATATCTGAAAAGCAAGTGATAGTCAAAAGGTAGGTCATCTGCCAATAATTGAGATGGAGGACATGATTCATGTGTAAACTTAGGAATGACACCCGACAACTGATTACCGCTAACATCAAAAACACTCATACAAGGCACACAAAGTTCCCCACTGATCCCACCCCTCAACTTGCTGGAGCTTAGATTTAGAAATTTTAGATTATTGCATTGCCCAAATGTTTTTGGAACCCCACCAGTGAAGAGATTTTCACCTAAATTAACCATCTCCAAGCTTTTGCAGTTTCCCCAGTTGCTTGGAATCTCCCCTTCCAGTGTCGCTCGTGGAGCCCATAAAACCCTAAGTTTCGGCAAGCTAGTGATATTTTCAGGAATCCCACCTTGAAAATAGTTGCAATCATCAAAACCATTGTAGTCTGAATCCTTCAAAGGAAGCATAGGATCATAAGGATGGGAAAGAACAATAACAGAAAGCTCTTGACAATTTCCCAACTCTGAAGGTAGAATTCCACTCAAACTGTTCCTTGAAACGTCTAAAGCTTGAATCTTTCTCAGCTTCCCAAGCTCAGATGGGATCGCATCATCTAACAAATTGGAAAACAACATCAAACTTCGAATCACGCTGCAGTTCCCCAAACTACGAGGAATGCCCCCAAGCAGAAAATTTCGAGAGAGATCAAGATACTCTAAGCTTTCACACCCAGCTCCAATTTCATTCGGAATAGAACCAGTAAACTGATTAAAAGAGAGATTTAGGGTTTTTAACTTGGGCAAACTACCAAAGAATCCAGGAACCGAGCCATTGAACTTATTGTTCGAAAGATCCAAACTTTCCAAATTTAGGCAAGTAGAAAGAGAGTGAGGGATATCACCTGAGACCCGATTTGACCTCAAATTCAAAACCCTAAGCCCCTGCGGCATGAATCTCAAGGGCAGGTAACCAGATAACAAATTCCCTTCAAGATTCAAGACTTCGAGCTTCTCGAGCCTCCACAGCTCATCGGGGATCTCTCCGGAGAGCGAATGGAAAGGGATCGACAGAACCTTAAGCTCAGTCAAGTTACCTATCTCCGCAGTGAGCTCACCGGCGAGCTTGAGGTTACCTCCGGCGGCGATGTTGACGACGACGACCCTGTATAGCGAGTCGCACGTGACTCCGGGCCAGGAGCACTTGTCAGGCCCGGACCAGCGAGAGAGAAGACCAGCAGGATCCGATAACGAGGTCTTGAACCGGGAAAGGGCGGATCTTTCGACGACTCTAGGGTTTTGAGCGAGCGAGGATAGAATTAAGAGGAGAAGGATCAGGGTTTCGGCGAGAAAAGCCCTCTCCGGCCGGCGGAGCATTGTAAAACTCTGGTCCCTAATTTCGAGTCGATGGAGCTCGGGAATTTGAGAAATAGAATTTTGAAATTCTGAGGGGTTTTTTGGGAAAGTGGNGCGCTGCTGCTGCTGCTGCTGCTGCTTTTTTTTTCCCCTAGCGTGAATTATTATTCCATTTTTCAAAACTTGCAACCAAATTTCGCTTGAACGTGTGGGTCCAAATTGTATGCATTGCTCCCTCCACCATCAGCCCTTATTCTTTTTTTTGGGCGTTTTAGATATTAGTCACTTAAATCTTTAATAATTACATATTAATCCCTCATATGTTAAAATTTGTATTTTGGCCCGTCTAATCCTAGATCTTGCAACATGATCCTACAAGTTAAATTGCATCAGATTCTAGGAAAATATTACATCAAATCTAACGGTTGGAGGTCAAATGATAATTTTGCCCCTCTACTATGTACCCCAACACATTTCTTAAATTGGTTTAAACTCAGTCCATGCTTAAAAAATCCAAGTCCTCTTGAATTCTTCTTTTCCAATGGTTAGAAAAGAAACATAACTCAAAGTTCACAAAGATTGAAACATTAGAGAGAAAAAGAGAGAGAGAGAGGGAGGGAGGATAGCTAAGCTTGGTGATTTTAGTTGTAAGGTAAGGAGTTAACTCAATCATGGTTAGGTTTTTAATTTGAAATACTAATAGAAGGACCATTTTGCAAGATCCTTTAAGATTTGAAGAATTAATATGTAATTTTTTACAATTTGAAGGATTAATATGCAATTATTAAATATTTAAGGGAGCAATAACGGAAACCTTTTTTTTGGGTTGATTTCAAATAACCCCCTATACTCTAGGGAGCTTCTAACAGAACCCTCATAAACTTTGTTTATTTCATGTAACCCTCTTGAACATTGGATGACTCGCAAAATCTTCCTGAACTTTAACATTTTCTCCCAGATCATCATGTCTATAATTTGCAAGTAACTAAAATATCATTCAGAGAAAAAATTTCAAATTTACCGGTAATGTACCATCTTCCCCAAATATTAGGGTTTTTCTTTTAAGAAGATTTTAGTTTTTTATAAATTATGTGAAGGAGTGGGCCAGTAAGAAACTTCGAAGTTCAAGGGGATTTTATGAGTCACTCTATAATTCAATAAACAAACTTTGGCGGGGTTATGTCCCCCCCCCCAAAAAAAAAGGTTCAAGGGCTTGTGTGAGTTCATCCATTGTCAAAGACTAATCTCACCATGATTAACAAATTGTGTAGATTTTGTAATGAAATTAGTTTAGTAATTACTCATCCATAGTTAAATATTAATCTAACCATGATTAACATATTGGACAGATTATGTAAAGAAGGGACTAATTTCTAACATCTTAACCAATTAGGTGATCTGATAGCCAGTAAATGATTTGAAGAACTAATATTGAAATCTCCCCAGTTTATTACATATTGAAATTGATCATAAATAATCTTTTATTACTGTCATACTTTTCACTTAAATTTAATTGCAGCAAACGTGCAATTATATGTAGACCCATCCCAAAGCATCTTCGCTTCCATAAGGTAGTATTTGACGGTTCACGCAAAAACAACAAATAAAAATACATCAGCTCTTAGTCATTCAGCATTGCAGCCGCAAACATCCAAAGTGAAACAATAGGTACAAAAACAAACTATAATATCCCACAAGGAAAAAATAAAAATCTATACTAAGTATAAAAAAAAATAAAAATTTATACTATATATAAAAGAAGATTGGAGTATTAAAACTTTTAAATTCTTCTTTTGCCCTCTTAAATTTTGATATCTCTTAATTATGCCAATTATCTCTAATTAACTAACTAATCTCATACTATTTTAAAATAATTTTCTGAAAATGTCCTTAGAGTTTCATTCATAGCCACGAAAATGCCTTCATATGTCATTAATTATCGGTTTTAAAACTTTCATTATTTTCACTAAATTTTTACTGTTAAATTTAAAATTAATTAATTTTAATAATTAATATTTATGAATATTATTTTTGTTTACTAGAGTAAAATCTAATAATCTAATCCAATACTAATCCATCCAAGATTAGTTTGTTTTGATGATAACAAATATTATATGTTGTGTGTATTATGTGCTAACATTTGTTTTGCAGTATCAGAGCTAAATCAACAACGATATTCAAAGAGTTACTCAAGACATAGGATGAGTTCAATGCAAAATGAAGCAAAGAAGAAGATATACTTTATTATCAAAATGTAATTTTATATTTTCTTTGCTTAGAAATATGTACAAGCCTTAATCACTCACACACATGTACACACATAGTGTTAGAATACACTAACACATGCTTAGTGTGTTGGTTAACTATAAAAATCCCCTATGTTAATCATTAGATTTAATAGATATTAAGTGAGACTTAAAACATATCGTATAGCTCATATCTACCCCTTAATAGTCAACTAATAGCATGAATAGTCGACTACAAAAGACACAGACAAAATATCAATTTTTGTGTTATTACAGACTAGTCGCCTACTAGGACATTATAGTCGACTAATCAACGTTGAATCAGAATTCTAGACTTTCTGTCGATTACAGTGTAGTCGACTAATGAGTAGAGTAGTTGTCTACTAAGGAATTTTATGACTACACAGAGTGTGTTTGAACTCAGTGTAGTTGACTACTAAAAGTTATAGTCGACTACAAAGGCAGCTTTTTTGACAGTTACAAGTTTTAAGTATATGACAGTTTATAGCCGTTTGAGGTGTTATTGGGGTTTAAAAATATGACTTTTCAGATGCTATAAATAGGGTAAACGTCAGTAAACATATATACAAGATTTGCACTAAAAAGATTAAATTTTGTGCACATTCAAGCGGCCAAACATTCTGTTTTTCAGCCTAAATATTAAGAAAAACTATTTTCTGAAAAGCCTATGTTCTTGATCATTTCTTACTAAGTGTTTAGGAAAATTTCAGAGAGTAAAACCTATAACCACCGTAAGAATTATGTTCACAACACATTCAAGGCTTATAGGATTGGATTTGTACTTGTTTCAATGGAAGGTTCTTTCGATTTGTGAGAGGGGTTGATCTCTTGGTCTAGAGGTCGGTTTACAATTGGCATAATATTGTCAATTGGGTTTGCAATTTGCATGGTCTTGCAAATTGGTCAGATTTGCTTTTGATTTTGTAAGGTTTTAAAATCATAGTGGAAATCTCAAGCGATATTTGCTTGGGACTGGATGTACACCGGGGAGGTGAAACCAATATACATGCTTGTGTTTGTGATGTTCATTTTCTGATATTGTTGTCATTCTTTCTTGCAATTTATAACACATCTTACAAACTCACCCTCTAGTGTTTTAAGTGTAAAGCTTCCGCAGATTTACTCTCTATAAGAGCACACTCTTTTCTTAAGGGTCACGATCCTACACTTGGTATATAAGCAAGAGGACCCTACAATTGGTATCAGAGCACGGTGAAAGATGACATCAAGTTCATGAACATCAACAAGTACATCACAATTCAAAGATGGGCATTCGACCCAGCGACCACCTCTCTTTGACGACACAAACTATAACTATTAGAAGTACCGAAGGAAGATCTACCTTCAATCTCTCGGATATGAACTTTGGAACATTGTAGAGACGAAATTTACAAAGCCTACCACTCCTTACACCGAATGGATGGTTATTCAAAGGATAAATGTAAATCTAGTATCTAAGACGATGAATGCACTGTTGTGTGCCTTGGACAAGAATGAGTTCAATTGCGTGTCTACTTGCAATTCAGCCCATCAAATTTGGCATACATTAGAGGTAACACACGAATGAACTAACAAAGTTAAAGAATCTAAAATATCTGTTCTTGTGCATAGGTTTGAGTTATTCAAAATGAAAAAACATGAGACGATCACTAAAATAATCACAAGATTTACCGACATCACCAACTCTCTAATTGGTCTTGGAAAATAATACACACAATTGGAGATGGTGAGAAAGTTCTTCGTGCACTTACACCGGAATGAGAGAAAAAGACGACCACAATTGAAAAAGACAATGACCTCTCAACACTTACCCTAGAAGATCTTGTTAGGAATTTAATGACATATGAAGTACAACTTCAAGATAGAAGGGAGAGAGAACAACCAGAGAAGAAAATTATTGTTTTAAATGCATCTTGCGATAGTGATGAATCGGATGAAGATGATGAAGACATTGATGCTCTCTCAAGAAAATTCAAAAAGTTTCTTATCCAAAGTAAGTATAAAAATGTTAAAGATACTAACAATAATTTTCAAAAAGTTCCTAATATTTATATACATATCCATATATTCTATTTCCTATTTATCGATTTTGCATTTGGAAAAATAAACGTGTTTAAGATAATATTGTATAGTATATACATTTTTATGAAAATTGTGTATTCTTGTTTATGGACTTTAATATTTATATACATCTTTTATCAAGTCTATAAAATCATTTCATAAAGTTTCAAAATATCGTTTAAGTCAAAATGTCAAAAACAAGTGTGTTGACATTTTCATATTTTGGACTATTTTGCAAAATAAAGAGATTTCTCATTTGGGAAGTGCAATTCTAAAAATTCTTTTTGTGACATGTTCATTTTCATGTTTACAAGCATTTCCCAAAATTTTATATTTTTAGAATTTATTTGCTATTTTTAAAAGTGGTTTAAAGTTTAGTTTTACTGTTTATTTGAGGCTAATAACTTGTAATCAATCGACTGATGGATTTTATCAATCGACTGATGAACTCGCCTGGAATTACCAAAATTTTCTATTTTTGCGACTGATAAACTATCAGTCGACTGATGAGGTCATCAATCGACTAATGAGCTCTTCAGTCTACTAATAAGCTCTTCAGTCGACCAATGAGGTATGAGCTGCCTGTAACGGTCAGCTCATCAGTCGACTGATGAACAATATCAGTCGACTGATGCCTGTAACGGTTAGTTTTTTCAGCTTTCTATTTTTTTGTCTTTTTGCTGGTTTCTTTGGTTTTTGGGCTTTGGTTTCCATCCTATATATACCCCTTTGTCATAACTATTTTCAACTACCAAAAAGAAAGGTTTAAAGAAAATTAACATGTCAAATTAATAT